AGTTATATGTCTGATATGACTGACCATAGAAGCTATGTTTGGTTTTCCTATAATATCAGATTTAGAAGCAATCTTATAAGCCAGTGAATATAACTCATTGAAAACATCCGTAAGGTATTTCTGCTTAAATATTTCCACCACAATTCAAGACAAATTATTGCATTGTTGCAGTGTTAGCTATCAGAAAATTTGTCTTTATATAGTGCATAAATCTGTTTTCTGGTAACTTCCATCTTCTTGGGCTAGTGCTGCCCTCTCCTGCTAGATTGAATAATAGATTTTCTCCCTTTACCACTACATTGTTTGAACACAATTATATCTGTGCTCTGAGATTTTTATTCTATAGTCTAAATGTCCACAGTTTTAATATTTCACATGACATAATTTAAATCTCCTTACAAACCTAGTTGATTTTCCCTGGTTTCAATCAAGTTCACCAGTCATGATGCTCACAAATGAAGCAAAAATCAGTGTATTATCTGCCTCACAAGGACTATTTCTATTGATGCCAGTAAGAACAGATTTCTTAGTTGTATGAAACAAGCTCTAGTTACTTTAAGCACAGAAGAATTTTATTTAAAGTCTATTAGGTAACTGAAGGAATAGTCAGGATGTCTAGAAAACCAGCCTCAGGGGAAAATGTAGAAACTAGGAGAGCCTGCAAATTCAGACTTGCAGCTAAAATCCTACCTCGAAACCAGTCTGGTGAAGTCACCTCTACTAACCACTATATACTACAATTGGCACTGTTACCATAGCTGCTTCCAGAAACTGGCTCTTGCCCTTGCTACTGCTATTGTCAGAGTGAACTGACATTGCTCCTGTTTCTTGTACTACTAATGCCAGATTCCATACAGGGTGAGTGTGTCTCACTGACAAAAGCTAGTTCTTATGTTTTTGTTCAACTTTTCTGGGAATTTTCTTGGTCTGTAATGGAGTCAGGCTCTGGCTCCCAAAAAAACTCTGGTGGTGCCATGTTCACAAAAATGGGAAGAGGTTTCATTTATTGATTAGCCAAAGTAAAGGCAAAAGTCCTCTACAAAAATTGAAATATCACTTGATTGTTTTTTACAACCACACCTCACTACTGAGGCCAATGAAGAACTAGCCATCGAAAACACTTATGCGTTGTTTTCACATGTACCATTCTTAGGTCGGGATGGCAGTGCACTTCTCACTCTGGGCAGGGTGTATGGGGAGGATCTGGGAATAGAACCCAGGGCCTTTGAACTGAGCTACATGCCCAGCATTTTTTATTTTGAGACAAGTTTTCACCAGGCTGGACTCGAACTTGCTATTCACCTACCTCAGCTTCCCAGAGTGCTGGGATTGCAGGCATGTGCCCCCAAACACACCTTCAGTTTTTACTTTTTGCTACATATGATAAAACCCACAACTTTCTTGTCTGAAAATTGCACCTACACACATGCACATTCATGCACCCCTAAATGGTTCTCAGAGCTATGTCTTTATATATGATGTTAGTTATAACTAATTGGCTGAAAAGTAGATATCCCCTCCTCAGTTTGGTCAATCAGATTCTGGGCCCTTCAGTTGTCAGTGTTTGAACTAAAATGATGCACGGTTAAGCCCGAAGAACATTACATTCATTTCTTCATTTATTCATTGAAAAATATTAAGTGAGTACTTATTATGTTCCAGGTACTATTCTGAGGGAGGGGAAGGTAAGTATGAAAATAAATTAAAATAATTGTGATTAATACAATGGAGAAAAATAAACTAGGGAAAAGGGATTTAAGTAAAAAGAGGAACGCTGGGTGTTGTGGCACATGCCCAGTGCTCAGGAGGCTGAAGCAGAAGGATAGGCATGAGTTCGAGGCCAGAGTGGGCTACATAATGACTTCAAGGCCAGCCTGAACTACAAAGCAAAAGCCTGTCCCAAACAAACAAACAAACAAGTATAAGGGGTAAGGTCTTAATTTAAGATATAGTGCATATTTTGGGCTTCACAGAGAGGGTGGTATGTGAGCAAACTTCAGAAAAAGTAAACTATGCTAATATTTGGAGAACGAGCATGTTAATAGCAGGACAAGGAACAGAAAGTGCAAAGGCCCTGAGACAGATAATGCTGTTAGAGTATTCCAGGAAAAACAAAGAGATAGCTGGACCAGAGTGGTTGAATGAACTAATTATGTGGGACCTTGTAGGACCTCCTAGCCATTTAGGATTTTATGTGAGCTGGAGAACCATTGGAGGATTTTGAGCAGAATAACATGCTTAAAAATGCTCATTTGGGCTTTTGTGTGATGAATGGGCACAGCTGGGCACAGCAGTAGTAGAAACATTGGTTAGGAAATTAGTTAACCTAGGCAAGAAATGATGGATGGGCTGATGGTAGAGCACTTTCCTAGGATATTGAGGCCCTGGGTTCCAACCTCAGCACTGATAAATAAATAAATACATAAATAAATAAGGCTTAAACCAAGATGGCGGTAGTGGTGATGAAGATGTTTTTTTTATTATTTTAAAATTTATTTTCTTTAATTAATTTTTTTGCACCAGGAATTGAACTATTGAACTCATGTCCTTGTGCTTGCAAGGCAGGTGGCAGAACCATTGAGCTAAATTCATAGCTTTTCTTTAATTAATTTTATTGGTACATTTAATGTATACTATATAATGATATTCATTGTTGAAAATTTGTACCTTTACATAATCAGTCTTGGTTCTTATTTTTTCCCCATTCCCCTGCCCTCCCTTTAACCCCTCCTGAGATTCTTGATACATTTTCAAGGTAGATTTCACAGGATTTGCTGATGAACTGGATGTAGCATGTGAGAAAAAGGAAGAGTCAAAGATGACCTCAGACCTTTTGGTATGACTTCAAAACTCTTGGTGTGAGCAAACAGAGGAAGTTGTTATTTACTGAGATGGAATGGATTGAGAAGGGAGCACATTTAGTGAGGTAATATAAAGATCTGGTCTCAGAAAATTACATGAGAATTGGGTGTGGTAATGGAAGCTGAAACAGGAGGATCACAAATTCAAGGCCAGCCTGAGCTACATAAGCAAGACCCTGTCTCAGACAAACAAAAAGTTTTAAGATATTTGAATAGAAATGCTGAGTGGATAGTCACCTATGTTTTCAGTGGAGAGGTCTAAGCTAGAGATTCAAATTTGGGAGACAACATTGTATAGCTACTTTTGAAAACCATGAAACTGCATGAGATCATTATGACAGTGAATGTAAATAGAAAAACTAAGAACTGGGCCCCATTTCTAGTGTTTGAAACAAAGTTCTCATTGTGTGGGCCTTATACCAGCACTAACAGCATCATCCAAGAACTAGCTAGAAACATACATTTCTCTGCATTATCACAAAACTACTAAATCAGAAATTCTGAGGGTAGAGCCCAGAAAAATGTTTCAATATATTTTTTTGGGTGATTCTGATACACAAAAAATAGTTAAAAAGTTGTTCCATGATCTAATCTATGCTGATAATTCCACAGGGAATCTCTAGAATTTTTTTAGGGCGTGGTGATAGTGCTAATTCCTCTGCTGAGAAATATTATTGCTATTTTCTTCAATTATTCCCCCCCAAAAAAAACAGTTTCAAAATTTAAATGAATTTTTTCTTGATTCCTTAGGTGGATTTTCTACTTTGAGTTCAAGATATATTCTATAAATATTTGTATCCCTATAACCTGAAAACCTTCAGTGTTTATTGACAGACTGAATTATAGCACCTAAAGTAATATTTTGTGTGTATTTCTTACCTCCTGGCAGCTATATGTGCCTCCTGGGAAACAATCTCTATTAATCATTAGTCCTTAGGTGTTAAGCATTTAATTAAATGCAGACTTTTTGGGGGATGTGGAGGGGGTGTCACTACTTTGCCTGGGCTGGACTCGAACGCTTGGGCTAAAGCAATCTCTCCTGCTTCAGCCTCCTCAGTAAGGGCAAGCTAGCTTCTTCAGACTCTTTTTTTTTTTCTGGTGCCAGCAACTGTATCTCAGTCCTCTCACTAAGGTACATCCCCAGTTTATTTTACTTTGCCTTATTTTTTAAATTTTATTTTGATACAGGGTCTCATTTAAGTCTGTGAATTATCCAGGCTGGACAACATGGTCCTGTGATCACAAGGGCAGCGCCACCACACTACGTGCTTCAGACATTCTGTCGTGACTTTCGTAAGAGCCTGAATACTTTTTCAGTTTTCAAAATTTATGAATTTGATTTTTATTTCCACCGAAGGTCCAATGACACATTAAGAGTCCACTAATATTTTAAAAGTATTTTTTCATGAAATTTAGGGTTAAATGGCAACAATGATATTTTTCTTAACACACAGACACATCTTTTAAGTTTTCCCAACAGATTTGGCGTTGCATGCCTGTGTATGGGCTCTGGCTGTTAAGATTTGTGATAGATTTTCGAATTTGAGGGAAGCAGAGAAACAGCCTATCGAGTGAAAACATAAGGTTTTATTTCCCGGGAGCGCCAACAGCCAAGAGGAAAAATGGGTTCTTTAAAGAGCAAGGAAAGGCAAGGGCCAAAAAGTCCCCAAGCAGCTGACTGGGTATATATGAGGAAGGAAAATACAATCATATATATGATATATATCACATATGTGTCTCACATAGCACACGCACGCACACACACACACACACACACACGCGCTCTCATATAATTTTTTGTAGTTCTGGGGATTGAACCCAAGGCCTTTACACTGAGCTACATCCCCAGACTTTTTGTTTGTTTGTTTGCTTGTTTTAATTTTGAGAAGGGACTTGGTAAATTGCCCAGGCTGGGCTTGTACTCTGTATCCTCTTTCTCGTACTGCCAAAACTAACGCGTGGCCACGCTTGGCTGAGGGAGGCGGGGACAGGAAGGGGAAGGGCATAATGGGTGAGTTTTTTCTCCCGCCTGATTATCTGGGTTCTGATTGGAGGTGTGCTGAGCGGTCTATACTGAAGTCTACCTGGCAACAGTTAGGGAAGCACTGATTGGTGAACAGGTTAGCGGAGACTCTCGCGAGATAAGGAGTTCTCCGCTACACCAGTCCTAAGAGGAGGCCTGTGCTTGGCGTGTCCTTCTGAGGAGATGGCTTCCAGATCATTCCTAACGGCTCCAAAGAAAGGGATGACAGAGTTTTTGAGCAGAGGAAATCTGTCCCTTCTAGATATGTCTCTAGGTATGTAGAACCCAGATTCCTACTTCCACTGGTCAAGGCTCACGCGATACCTCCACGTGGGACGGCCTGGAAGTGGCACTGCCGCGCTGCCTCAGAGGGAAGCGGAGAGAACTCGTGTGGGGAGCAGCGACTGCTGCAAGGGGGACGGGGGAAGGGGGAGATTAAAAGACCAGTTTTTCAATGTGTTTGACTCTTATAAGAAATGTCGCCCGGCCGCGTGTCCCTTCGTGCCCGCAGCGTCACACGCGCTCTTCACAGTGCAAGCGTGTGGCATAAAGACTAGACTGGAGGCTGGACTGGAGGCCGGATTGCCGAGTGAGGAGTGCGGAAAAGACTGAGTGAACGGGCACCTGGGTGGTTGGTTTGCTTGTAAGTGTGTGTTTTGGTGCCGGGGATTGAACACAGGGCAGTCGCCTCTTACGTGGTGGTTTCTTCGTTCAGGGTCATCTTTCCCCTCTGCTTGGTGCCTTCTCACCTCTTACTTCACACCTCTCCACAGAAATGGGAGCCCTAAAAAACAGAAATCTGTGACCAAGGCCCTTAGTCCTCCCCTCCCCGCACTACTCGCACGATTCCGTATAGAGGCAGGTTTTACTTGGACCAAGTTCTCTACTTAGTTCTCTACAAGTTCTCCACATTAGACAAGAAGGGGATGGGATGGGAGGGTAGGCTTCATAAATGAAGGACTAAGGAAGAGAGTGGGGAGGCCAAATTTTGAAATTGAAGGGGCACGGCAGGGTAGGGAAGCCGTTAAAAGTAGAAAAGCCTAGAGAAGGAAACTGAGACCGAAAGATTGTGAGATCGAGATCAGTTGTTTAAAAAAGAAAAGCAGGAAGGGGAAAAATGGATCAGGACCCCTTAGAAAAGAGAACAGAGCTGTGGTGGCAGGCCTGAGATAGGACAGGGAGTAAGAAGGGTGGAGGTCAGATATTGGTGATGCCACACAAAGCCCAGCAGAGACGGATGAATTTATAAATGGAAGGAGCATAGCAGGTTTTTAATTTTGGTAGAGTTCATTTTATCTGGTTTTTCCTTTGTCATTCATGATTTGGTGTCATATCTAATAAATCAAATAGATTACCCTATTTTTCCTTTAATAGTTCTAGTTTTAGCTCTATAGTTTCAATCTTTGGTGCATTTTGACTTAATTCCTATATATGGTGTGAAGTAGACTCTAACTTCATTCTTTTTACATGTGGATATCTAGTTGTCTCCACACCCTTTGTTAAAAAGATAATTCTTTCCCCTTACTGAGTGATCTTGGTGAAATTACTTTTTTTAATTTAATATTTGGAAACTTCATTGCTAGTATGTTAAATATGCCTTATGTGAAGTACTTAGAACCAAAAGTGTTTCAAATTCTCGATGATTTTTTTGGATTTAGGAATATTTCCAGATTTGACTAGTTGAAAAGTTTTAAATGCTCTGAAATCTGAAACTCTAAAGTCATCAGACAATTTCAGAGCATTTCAGATTTCAGATTGGGGATATTCAACTTGTATATAAAATTAGAATTTGTTCTCATTCTCTCTCTCTCTCTCTCTCTCTCTCTCTCTCTATATATATATATATATATATACATAAGAATTTCTACATACATAATAATAGTAGTATCTAAGAATAGATATATTTATTTTTTCCAATCTGGTTGCCCTGCATTTTTTTTTTACCTTGCATTTGTTTTTCTTGATTAATTGCTCCAAATGGGTAGAATTTCTTGCGCTGGTGTTATGTATTAGAAGTCTCATGTGTTCAAAGATGGAGCTTTTGAAAAGTGGATCATGGGGGGATATCTTCATCAGTGGATTAATTCATTGTTTTCACATCTAATTTTGTTGTTAAGAGGTGGGGTCTGATTAGAAGAAGTGGGTCACTGGGAGGGACCTGGAAGGGTGTACTGTTGTCTCCAGCTCCTCTCTTCTGTTTCCTGACTTCCATGGGTTGAGCAGCTATGCACTTCTGCTGTGCCTTTTCAGCCTTGGAGACAGCCAGTTATGGACTGAACCCTTTGAAACCATGAGCCAAAATGAACAGCTCCTCCTATAACATGTTGGTGTCAGGTATTTTGCCTCAGGGACTGAAAGTGACTAACATAGCTGGGAATGTAGCTTAATGGTAGAGTGCTTGCTTAGCATGCACAAAGCTCTGTGTTTTAATCCACAGCAATGAAGAAAAATTACCAGTAAAATGCTAATTAGATGTGAGATAGACATCTTTGAATTATTTCTGATTTTAGGCGAGAAAGTTTTCAGTCTTTCAAAATTAATTATTATTTTATTTGTGGGGTTGTATAGATGCCTTATGAGGCTGAGGAAGCCACCTGCCTCCCTCACCTCTGAGAGGGACTCACCATAAATAGTACCTAAGACTTTTCCTGATTTTTTTTGCCTTTAAGGTATTCTTAGTAATTCATTTCATGATTGGTAGCAATGGGCTTTCCTCTTCTAAGACATAGTCCCTTTGGATTCCATACTCCTGAAAGGCTCCCAGCCCTAATATGATAACGAATTATAAAATATTTTGTAACATTAAAATGATTTTTAGAAAACAATATTTGTGGGGAGTGGTGTGTGGCTTAGTAGTACAGCAGTTGCCTAGCATTCATGAGGCCCTGGGTTCCACTGCCAGAATCACAAAAAGAAAAAAGAATGGTAATTGCTTGGGACTAGGATAAGGTAAGGCACTTCTTTCAAAATATATTTTAAAAAAAGTAAAGCTGGGTGTGGTGGCATATGCCTGTAATCCAAGTACTTGGGAGGCCGAGGCAGGAAGATTACCATGAGTTTTAGATTAGCCTGGGCTAAATAGTGAGTTCGAGGCCAGCCTGAACTATGTAGTGAGAACCTCTCTCAAAAAACAAACAAAAAATTTAAAGTTGCTAAAACTTTTGGTAATGGGGATAATTAATATTTTAATGAAACATTTAAAAAATCAAATGGGAACACTACAGACTTTTGGCTGTTGTTTCAAACATTATTTTATTGATCTAGAAATTAAAACAAAACAAAATAAGGTAGTTTAGGGCCTGATCCTTTTTTTAAACCACATTTTGTTCATCAGTGCTTATTTTTCCAGTGATTTTTATTTTTTGAAAATTTTCTGTTAAAATATTATTTCTATCTTGATCACTGAATTTTGGGGAGCTTCCTTTATTTTGTGCCCTTTGCCTTACCCTAGATTCTGTCCCATGTCTGGGACCTTGAACCAAGATAAACCTAGAGCTACAGTAAAATTTTTTTCTTATACCTGGGATCAAACTCAGGACCTTGCACTTGCCAGACAGGCATGTCATCCCTCAGCTACACTTGCAGCCCTGCTAGAGGGAATTTAGAGCACTGAGGTAAAATATTGCAATTTTACAACTTGTCATAGTTTTGATGGTAGTGATTAGTTGCTTAGCAGCTGCTAATAGGAGAAAAAAATGACCCAACCTGAAAAATAGCAAATCAGTGTTATGTCACAATTCAGAGATATAGGAGCCATGGCCAAAGAATGGCCTGGTTCCCCAAAAATGTAATAGCTACTATATCTCATGGGATCCTAAGTTTTCTCATCTGTGTAGACTTGTTGAGGATTAAATGAGATAATACAGTCACTGTGCACAAAGTATGGTTCCTGACATGTTGAGAAAGCTGAGTAAATGTTTGCTGTAGGCTTCTCAGAAAGTCAATTTAAAGCCTCACTTTTGGGTACCGAAAATTTTCATGAACCTGAACAGTTAACCTCCCCTCTTGGGATTTGTTTATTGGCCTTTAGGGAATATGGCAGATTTGAGGAAGATTTAAATAACCAGGAGAGAGATGAGGTTTAGACAGTTGATAATATAGAAAGCATTCTCCTAGATGTTTTCATTCAGGTGTCTGGAAGACTGAGGGAAGTGGTTGTTTGGCATAACTTGGATGATAGCAGATTTAAGGGACTTAGGAAGAATAACGTTTAAGTAAATGATTACCACTAAGAGGACACTGGAGCGTCTGGTTTGGGAAAGACTGGTTCAAGCATATTTGAAAAGCTAAGGAAAGTTGTTGAGTCAAATATGATAAGTTAATTGGAGACTGAATAAGAGAATAAAATCTTTTTTATAGGGTTGTAAAAAATGTTGAGATCCTGTTTCAGCCTTTTAAACATTGGCTCTCTCTATCCATATTTATACCATCTTAGATGAGAGTACAAGTTTGATCTTTACCGAGGAACAGGTAAAACATTTTACTAGTTATGTTCCCTTCTAATTTGAAAGCAAGAAAAATACATCATAAAGAGCAAATGTATGTTACTTTCTATGATTTAATGAGACATCCATACTTTTCTGATTCATTTCCCCTTGTTTTCCAAGTGAAAATACTAGTTTTCAACAATATACATCTTTGACTTTGGATAACTAAAATAAGCATTAGAAAAAGTTTTGTATTGAATGTGAAGATGTTGCTTCCATTGTGATAAGTACTCAAATAGGAGGACTCTACAGATTTATTGTTCTTCTTGTGCTTAGTAAATGTACCCAAAATATACTGCAGTCCTTTGTTTTAGCAATAAAAGGCAAAAATAAAACTAAGATTGGAACTGATAGCAAGAACTTAATAGGAGCTGTGCTGCTCTTTTTACCACTTCTTTTGTTTGTTTGTCTATGGTACTGAGGATTGAACCCAGGGCCTTTGCACTTAGCTCATCTCTGTCCACCTCTCCTAGGCTGGATTCAAACTTGTGGTTCTCCTGCCTCAGCCTTCCAGAGTGCATAGGTTACAGGTGTGTGCCACCACACTAGCTGTATTCACTACCTCTGTCTAAAGAAGACTAAGGCAAAAGTATTTTGGTTAGAAAAGAAGGAATTCTTTTAACCTTTCAATATGTTAGATCATAGATCCAAAAATATTTATTGAGTATTCACTCTGTATTAGGAATAGTACACTAAAAATAAACAATAAATTTTTCTCAAATACCTCATAATTTAGCTGAAGAGTAAATATGTGCAATTCACAGTATTCAAGGGTTCTGGAAGTTTG